TATGACCAGGGGCACCACTGATGTCTTGACCTTCCAGGTTTTCTTCAGCTTTTCTCTGAGACCCTTGTATTTCTATAGTTTCTAATGTTCCTTTTTCCTGATGTTGCGGTATTGCTATGTCAACCACAACAGCTTTCCTTTGCTTTTTTATTCACCACCACAATGTCCGGTTGGTTTGAAGTTACCATTCGTTTCCATCAGTATCTGGAAGTCCCACAGGATTTTGGCTCAGGTCATTCTCTACCATCTTTTGAGCTGTTTCCCCCTTTATCTTTTGGGTACTCTGCACTGATGTTCTTGTACAGTATTCCAGCCACTTGGTTATGGCGCTCAATGGAAGCTTTCCCTGCTATCATCTTACACGTGCCACTGGAACAAGTAGGAAATGGGCGAGATGCGAGACCAGGGGGCTCTTTTAGAATATATATATACAGTATAAACATAATAATGTGTGCTTTTTTAGCTTTAACCTTTAAAGTATTAATTCATTGGGCTTTTATGAACAACAAAATTATATTTTTGTACTGTAAAACGTTTTATATAAAAATAATACTATAAATATAAAAATAGGTTAATAAAAAAAAAAAAATAGAAAATACTGTACTGTACAGTGTTTTTAAATATATTTATTTAATAAAAATATATAAAAATCTGAGTATGTAGTTTTGATAACTACACAGTTTCTTCAAAAATAAATGAAATTACTTTTATTCATGTGATATTTGAACCTGTGTGGTTTATTGCCTTTTGCATTGCCACCAGCACATCTGGATTTCACCATTACAAGACAGATAATGCTATTTCATTCAATTCTATTTTGTATAGGAAAGACGTATTAAACCCAAATCTATCTGAAATAGCAGGTAATAATTGTTGCAAAATTCTGCATCTGCTGGCTTTCATCTAGACACATATTTAATACACTCATAGGTTATTTTTTATACTATGTAAGTGTAGTGTTGAGGACAGCTTTATCATTTGCAAATGTCCAAAAGGACAGGACTTTAGAATTAGCAAACAGGTGATATGTTGACATCAGTGTCTGTGTTTACACTTAATAGGGTGTCAAGAAGAAACTCTGGGAAACATGTGTTTCACAAGTTGTGATTACAAGGGAATCTTTTTTTTCTTTTCCCCCAAAATATAATTTGTGCAGAAAACATACGAACAAATAATAAAAAAAAGACTAGTAATTTTGGTTAAAAAAGTAGTAAATACCCTCATACCTAAATAAAATTTTAGAATAAACAATTCATGCAACTTACTTATTGTGCTAAAGGATTAGCTGCTTTTCACAGAAGCAAAACATAATATTTTAACTTCAGTTCTAACTCAGCTTTTCACTGACTTTTTAAGATCTTTATTTGATAGCTGTTGCTACATCCTCAGGTTGTTGAACTAAGTTAACAAACACACTCTCACACACAGGGTCAGTCTAAACAGTCATGCTCTAACTGGTAAGAGATATGACAAGATATATGTGATTACAGCCAGAACCAGGAGAAAAAATAGGTTTTTAATAATAGATTTAGCTAAATTGCATAGTTTGTTTTGAACATAAAACCTTAATCAGAAGAGGATTTGTAACTGATATTTACTGTATGGACAAAGGTAATATACTGTCTCGTTCTCACATTATAGAATCATGAAGCTGGTCATTTTAACAATGCTGTTCGGGTTCGGGGTCATGCAACACAACCCCAACTTTCAACACGGAAGAACAACAATTGTCCAACTATTCGAGTGGCGCTGGTCCGACATTGCTGCTGAGTGTGAGCGCTTCCTAGCTCCTAAAGGGTTTGGTGGTATTCAGGTTAGTTGAACTAAATATTAGTGTGTAGAATGTTCTGGTTTCAGGAAGAACAAAACCGTCTTTTTTCTGTTAATATTAGATTATAGCAACTTGTATGCAGTTTATCTCGCAGAGGTTATATACTGTTTATCAGTAGTTGTGGAAGATTACACACAAGGCAGGAAAAGTAAAAAATCAAAAGAGAGTCAATGCTAACAGCACCTCGTTTTGGATTATATAGAAAGTGAAATCTGGTTATCCAAAAGTTAAAATACATAAGAATTGTTTACAATTCTTCCTTTGATGCAGATACAGGTAAATTGGGAAAAAAATGTTTCATATAGTTTCACCTGCTTCTAGCAGGCCCAACACTCCCAATTTTTTACCAAAACTACCTTTACACAAGAAAGCTGTTGACATTTTTTTCTGCATAAATTTTGGGGATTTGGCAGTATTTTATATATATATAGTACAGACCAAAAGTTTGGACACACCTTCTCATTCAAAGAGTTTTCTTTATTTTCATGACTTTGAAAATTCTAGACTCACACTGTGAAACAACTGAAAATATGTCTTTAATTCTAGGTTCTTCAAAGTAGCCACCTTTTGCTTTGATTACTGCTTTGTGCACTCTTGGCATTCTGTTGATGAGCTTCAAGAGATAGTCACTTGAAATGGTTTTCAGTTCACTGGTTTAATAAGTAGGATTTCTTGCTTTATAAATGGGGTTGGGACCATCAGTTACTTTGTACAGAAATTAGGTGGATACAGCACGCTCTTCTTTGCTGTCACATGCTGGGGCAGTGGGTTGAGGGTAGCTGAAAACAACAGACTGAACAAACTGATCAAGAGGACCAGCGATGTTGTCGGGGAGTAGCTGGACACCCTGACCACCGTGGCAGAGAGGAGGATGCTGTCCAGGTTTCAGTCCATCTTAGACGAGCTCCTTCAGCAAAAGACTACTCTTACCCAGATGCACCACACAGCGCCACAGGAAATAATTCCTACCTGTGGTCATCAATCTCT